CATATTACCTTTGTCCCTGTCATCACTGATAAACACTCCCTGAGGGTTGGAGGAAAAAAACAGTTTTCCACTCTGGTTCCCAGGAGGAAATAAAAATCAATTATAGATGAGAAACACATGAAATCCAATTAATTCAGGTTATTAACCTAAGAAATCATTCTTCCTGCTATTTCAATGTAAGGTAAGACCTCAGAGATGAGCTGAGCCAAAGGATATGGGCCATATGCCAGGCATTGTGTTGGGCACTTTCCATATAGCTTATTTAAACCTCACAACCACCCTCTGGAGGAGACATTACCTCAGTTTTTCAGAAATCACAGGAATATCCACCAGAGAGGTTAAATATGCTGCCTAAGGTTAGAGATAGAAGTCCACTTTCATCCAGACTCTAGACTGTCCGCGATGGAGGCAGACCTTATTTTTCCTCATTTCACACTTTACCACCTCACTCCTTGGCCCTACCTAATTATAATGTCTGTGCATTTTTGTGGCTTCAAGTAATGATATAGTTGTTGAAGCAACTAATCCAACAGGACTACATTCAACAAGCATTTTTCAGGATCCATATTTGGGGGATCCCAGCAACTCAAAAGCAAACACTACCATGCACGTCTGGATTATTTCCCACTTTGTGAATGGATGATGTGGCTAATCAAAACTACACTGCACTATAAAATAGGGACCACCTAAATCCTCTAATTCCCACTGGCTTTAATAATGGCATCTCAGCCAGTGCTTATTGGATTGAGGGAGGACACATAAGAAAAGAGGAGAAAAATTCAGTCAGTGTCAGGCAAGAGTTGAACCCAAACCACCAGGAATGAGTGAGGATTATATATGTGCCCCTTTATGACAGTGGCAAAAAAATGAAGTGGCAAAAAAAAGAGTCTAAAAGCCTCTTGGACATGGGACAGATTGAGCAAGGATGAATTTTATTTGTAATAGATTAAGCCTACCTGATCCTATTTCATGTTATAGAAGTCGTCAAGGGGTTTTCTGAATTAGACAGCTTTTTCGGTATCAGTTATTAAGTCCTCTGCATGTAAGCACTTCCTAGATACTTTATTCACAGTCCTGCTTGTTATCTGGCTTCCTTTTGTTTATTCCAAGATCACTTGGATGACAGAACCAAAGGATGACAGACCAGAATCCCACTCCCATGTCAGATGAGTGACTGAGTGCCGAGGAGTCTACCTCACAGGTATCTCCAGCATCTGGCTCATTTTTTTGCATGGCCACTACTGTGGCCACCACGGTTCAAGCCTTCATCACCATCACCTGGATGGTTATAATCTCTTGCAGTTTCTTTGCTCCAGACTTCTTCCCCTTTAACCAGAATCCACACAAAGCCAGAATGATTATGTTCTAAAGAAAATTGCTCACTAAGTCACTCCTCTATTTAAAACCCTCCCGTGGTGCTGTTTGCCCAAGGATAAATAATGACAATAGTATCCAAGAATAACTGGGTGCATAATTGATGCCAGGTACTACATGACTTGTCCCAACTCTTGCAGCAACCCAGTGAGGGAGGTATACCCTCATTACCATTACTTATTGAAGCTAAGTTACTTGACCAATGCCCAACAGCTAAAAAGAGCTGTGACACAAATGTGGATCTGTATGACCTACAGTGCATATTTTAGCCACTATCCTACCCAGGTGATGGCATGTGGGTTCTCTGTGGCCTGGCATGCTCACCATGCCAGCCTCATTTCTAGGAGCCCCACATTGCTCTTCAGGCTTTAGCTCTTTGAGCTACCTGCAGGTCCTGACCCTTGACATGCTGTTTCCATGCCTCTGATTTTGTTTGTTTTCCACATGAATCCCTCCTCTATAATGCCCTCTCCCATTTGTCTATCTTGTGGGATGTCTCATCTTTCAAGATTCAACTCAAGTGTTGATTCCTCCAAGAATCTTTTCTCAATCCCTCCTCTCTGTCGCAGAACTGACCACTCCCTTCCTGTGCATCACTGTGCGCCAGTTAAGCTTCTATTATAGCAACACAATACTGTCCTATCCTTACATGGATGAGTTTGACTCCCCCCTCTTAGACTTCTGTGAATTTCGTAAATGCTAGGACTGTGTCTTACTACTCTGATTTACCCATAGTATCTAGCACAGTGCTGGGCTTATAGGTTTACTGTAAATATTGTCAAATGAATGAAAATATTTGTTTGCACATGATATATATTGCTTGGTCAGAGCACTTGTGCCACTGTATTGTGAGACTGATATTACTTTTACTTACAGTATCAGCACAATTAGTAATTTTTTATTTACTGAAGGACTATATATGAAACTCTGAAGAGGTACATGGAGCTTTAGGGTGACTAAAATTTTTGGGCATCCTCCCAATTACAGCAGCGGATAAGGATGGAGAGAAGATACTGTTGTCCACATGCCACACTTGTTTTCATCTGGGAGCGTACTCAGTGATAATGGGCTGTCACAGTACAAGCCAAACGTGGTATGGGAATGACATACATATCTCCTTTAGCAATGGGTATATGGGCGGCTCACATCTGAAGCACAATGCACATGTTTTATTGTGCACAATTAGATAGACTGATAAGAATAAAATTAATTTAAACATTTAATTTAAAAGCAAGAATAGCAGCGGTGGAAAACCATGACCAACTCATGACAGCACAAGTGATATTGTGATGACAAAACATCCTTTCCCCAAATTTTCAGACACACCAGTTCTACATGTGTACACATGTCACATTGTACAACACTACATGGCAGCCAGACTTGATTACTGGCAGCTAAATGCAATTCCTAACTGAAACGTTCTGGTCCTACCTCAAAACCATATATATCCCCAAATTCTGACCTATCCTCGAGTCTCAGCTCAAGGGAAACCTCCTCAGGAAAGCCTTCCCTTGTCTTGCAGTACAGTCGGTATACACTCTCAAAGAATTTTCTTCAGAGCTTATCTTTGTTTGTGAATACATGTTCCATGCTTAGTTTACTAATGGTTACCTTCCCAAAGCATCTATAAGATCCAGGAGATCAGGTTTTATTCATAATTTTTTCTCAGTGACTGTCACATAACCAGACACTCTGTAAATATTTTCAATGAATGAATGATTCCTTCACCCCTTACTCACTAATTGCCCTGTTCTCTTAAGAATTATATCCAATTTCTTGCCAGACTCAGGCTGATCTTCAACCCATTCCTCTTCATTATTTCCCTACCCTTTCACAAGGCTCAGTCCTTACTTTCTATTCCTCTCCCCTTCCAGACCCAATTAAAAAATGCATCTTAGAAGTGACAGCTTCAAACCAACCTGAACTTTCCAACACGTGCGGAATCCAGGTCAAGGTCATGCAACAGGAAACAATAAAGAAAATAAAGGAAAATGTGGTGACTAGAGTAGCTATTAGGTTATTTTAAACATTCTGAACAACTAAAAAAATCTATTAATTCAGTAACAATACTTTAAACCTCTTCTGCTTTATCATGTAGATTAAAATGGGTTTATATGCCAATGTTTTCCACTCCTCAGTATGTTTTAGCTTTGCCTAGACACAACCTTGGAAAAGAATTGATTGTGTTTACTGTTGGCAGGTAGTAAGCCACACATGTGGTCTCTCTCCGGGTTGCTCCTAAATAACCGCGCTCTGTGCTCCAGGATTCTTCTCCACCCGAGTGTGGGCCCACTCCTCCCTTCCTACTACTTGGTTCCCCTCTAACATCTTCTTCTACATCTTTTCCCACTTATCTGCCATAAATCTATGTTCCTAAGCCCCTTCACAAGTATAAAGCATCCATCCTCTGAGGCCCTTACAGAGGAAGAATCCTATGTGCACCACTCTGCTGGTCCTGGGTGGAGGAGGGGGAGGCATGGAAAGGTGTAATTGGAAAAGTTCTGCTTTCAGGAATAGGAACTAGTGAGGTGTTAATTTCTGGAAATTTAGAGCATTTTAGGAAGTGTTCTTCATTAATTCCCCTCAGTACTGGACTGTACTTAAATTGCACTTGGAAAGTCCAGTTTAGGAGAAAGAGCAGACAAAATGTAATTCCTCACAGACTCTTCCCCAAATACTGCTTTCTTTGAATCTCTGAGAGAGTTAAGGCAACTAAACGAAATGCCCTGTCTCTTGGTAGTAGGCTTCCTACTCCAGGGGCCACCCCAGCGAGACACTGTGAAGACATCAGTGCCAGAGTCAGCGGGGCACACTGGAGATGGAGGGATGCAGGTAGTGGCGGTGACGTCATTTTCTTCGGGTACTTTCATTAGGCAGGAGGTGGAATAAAGTATTAAAAGTAGGGGACGAAACTTGTAAGAAGAGCAGAAGATATGGGTAAAACCACAGGGGAGGTATAAATGGACACAAATGCTAGCACAGGCATTTTTCTAAAAGATAAACTTTTGAGTCGAGTTTTTAAAACCATGTGCATGTGTTACCCGTTTGATGTTATAATTTTGAATAATTAAAAAAATAATGTAAGACTGCATCAATCTGGTATTTTTTTTCTCCCCAAGAAACACGGCAGCTGGTAATCAGGCACGACCCTAATTGGGTGCCACTGGGGCAAGGTTCCCAAGGCAGCTGGAAGCTCGGGTCAAGGATCCTGGGAGAGGACTCGCGGCCCAGGCGCTGGATGCTGACGCCGTGCCCTCCCACATGCGAACGCGCTAGAAAACTGCCCATTCCCTCGCTCACACACAGGAAGGGGGTTCTTCCTGGCCGAGCCACCGACAGAAACCAGGCGCAGGCACAAGGCGCTGCCCGCAGCCTGCGTCTCGGTGCGCGCTGCCTTCCTCGGCGAGGGCGATCCGCCGCCCCTTCTGGGGTAACCGAACAGTCCGGTCCTGCGCCCGCGAAGCCTTTAGTCTGGTTGCCTGGTCGCGCACGCAGGGTTCCCTGGGCTGAGCTGCTCCGGCGTACGTCTGTCCTCTGGCCCCGAGCCCGCGACCCCCAGGCGCAGCCACTGCCCGTCCTCCATCGGCGCGCTTTCCGCCAGACCTCCTCGCGGCCCCTGGACCTACCTGGCGCACCGGCCTGGGCTCCCTCACCAGGTGCAGCGCAGGCCCGTCGACTCCGGTCTCCACGACGATGGGCTCGAGGCTGGGCTCGGGACGGCTAGCGGGCCCCACTCCCGGCGCCAAGGTCACGGTCCCGGAGAGGCGCCGCTCGCGGGGCCGGCCTCGGCAGCCCCGCAGCCCCTCTGGGCGGCCGCCGCGGCCCCGGCCTCGGAGCTCCGCCCCTCGCCCGCTCCCCGCCCGCTGGTCCCTTCGCGGTCCCCGACCGCCGAGCCCAGCTCCCCTCGGAGCCCGCTCGCGGGCTGCTCCCTGAGCCTGCACCCCGGGCAGCCCCGGTTCCCTCACCGTCTTCCTGCCCAGATCGAGCGGAGCGAACTCCTAGCGCCCGGCGCGGAGGGCGCGTCTGCCCCCCACCGAGGGCTGCGCTTTGGGTCTGGTTCCCGGGGACCCGGCGCTCGGGTCCTCTCCGGTGCTGCGCCAGGAGTTCCCTGACCCTCTGCCTGCTCCTGCGGCCGGAGAGACCCCCTTCCCTCCTCCTTCTCCGAGAAGGAAAAAGGCCTAAGCAATAGGGGACTTAGGGCTCCGCCAACGTTCTCCGTGCCGAGTGGGCCTCTGTTTGCTGACTAAAGGCCAGAGAGTCACGGTAAAATAAGTATATCCCCCGTGCCAAAACTCTTACTCATTCTGCGGGACTCAGGCTGGGCGCTGTCCTCGCTGCGAGATCTCTGTGCTCGCAGACCGCTCGCGGTCGTTCCTGGCCAGCGGCAGGCACCTGTAGCGCGGTGTTTCCCTTACCCACCCGAACGGGCGCTCCTTCGAGTCCGGGATCCGGCCTGCCTCGCTCATCCCAGTCTCCAGCCCCTGGCGTGGCGCCCGCCACCTATCAGGCGCTCGAATATTTTATGAATAAATGGAAATTTAATTTTTTGGTGGAAAACCGTTTTTTTCATATTACCCGCAAACAACACATTCTTTTTGGGGTTGGCAAATTCCTAGCCACTATAAAAAGCCACGAAAAATGTTATCCCCTTTGATGCAACATTCTTGGGAAATTTCCAGAACAAAATAATACTCGTGCAGAAGTTCGTAGCAGGATCATTTATTACAGAAAACAATAATTTAAAAAACCCACAAAAAGTAAACAAAGCCAAACTGTCAACAATAGGAAATTGATTAAATAAATCATGGTAGTGTAACTTAATGAGATATTACACAATCATTAAAATGAAAAACATCAAGGCACGAGTGTCTCAAGATGTTTTAAGAACAAGAGGCAGTATTTATAAAGAAAAAAGGAAAATCTGAAGCAACATGATAAAGTGTTTACAAAATAATATTAAACCAAAAGGGTAAAAATATTGCATAGTTACTATGCTTAACAACTTCAAGTAAAAATGCAGATTCCTTCTCTATAAAATTGGGGTGGGATTCTTGGAGTATTAAATGAGGTATTCGAATGAAGTGTCTGATACATACTAGATACTCAGCAAAAACTTTCCATTTTCTTGCTTCAAAGGAGCACAGACTTACATCTAGAATCTCAAAGACATCCTCATCATAGCCAGTTCTGCACATTTGACTTACTTCCTCTCAAATGCCAGAGGGAGTTGAGCAAATGTTCAAGCACCAGGTTAAAGTGAAGGGTAGAATCTAGTTGGTAAGAAAAAATGCCAAGTCCTCCCTCAGGCCCAAATACCCAGCAATAAAAATTCACAGTGGGGGATTTGGCCCCGGAGCAGTGCAGATCAAAATGTCTTAGAGATTTTAGTTGGCTACATGCACAGCCTCATTGGTGCCCAAAGGCTGAATTAATTCAGCCCCAAAGCTGAATGAAGCTGCATTTTTAGGCTGAGTTAATACTCTCCAATGATCAGTTTACACCTGGGCATAATGTTCACTTATCTTTAAGAAAGTGTCACTCTGCAAAACTATTATTACTCCTATTTTAAAGACAAGAAACTGAAGCTTACAGAGGTTAAGGTATATAGGATCCAGGGGCAGGAGGTGGCAGAGGCATGAATCTCATCATTTTGACCATAGCCTAGGTGCTTGAACATTTTTCCAGGGGGCCCAGTGTGCACATTTCCCACTTGAGGTACAAGAGATAGTTTGGGTAGTACACAGACAATAATGTTAAAACACAGTGGACTGCATGGTGAAAAAAGTTATGCCCTTTTCAATTCTCTTGATCCTTTGGATTATGTCAAGGAAGAGATCTCATTTCGGTGGTGCTTTGTTTTTACACCTAGGGGACCTGCCTCAGGCTCAGCACCTTTGATAGGCAACTGTTCCAAAGTAGAATTTCATGTAATCACTTTCTCTTCCTTCAAATATTATTCCTTAGGCTGTTAATTTCTAATTAGTAGAGCTTTTCTACTTACAAGGTGATGTGGTTTCCATTTAAGGTAAGTTTACTTAAAGAAGGAAATTGGATAATTGGACAGAAATAGGACCAGTGATATTTGGATGGTAAATATGGCAAAATGGTAGAGGTGGTACACAAATCCCTGGCATCTGAGAAATACTGCCCCATACTCAATTATGACCAGTGGATGGAAGGTATGGTTTAGAAGTTTCAGTTCAAAATGAATGAAAATATTCTGACAATCAGAGCTGTCTGGGAAGATGCAGAAGAACTGCCTTGTGGGTGTTAACCATATTCCCTCCACTCCAGGGGTTGGAGCAGAGTGGAGATGCCTGCTTGTCACAGGAGGTTAAACACTAGATAGGCTAGAAGCTTTAAAGTTCCTGCCAACCAGGAGAATCTTAGATTCTTGACAGCAAAGTTTCCCAAGGAGCTTTGATCACTGGAGAGCCTGGATTTGTAGTAAGTTAACATTAACTCCTTTTAAGGACAAATCCCAAAGAAATGTTCCAAGTGAGCTTTGAGCAATAGCAGCACCACTGTGACAATTGTATAATTTATGGAGCACTAGCAGATTATTCTCAAGGCAACTGCTTTGAAAGAGACATTTTGGGGGATTTGAAAATGTTAGGGTGCTCAATCATTTACTCTCTAATTACACTTTCTTCTGTTGTACCCTTTATTCATCACCGTCCCCAAGGGCCAAGAAGATGGGCTGTTCCCCCTTCCTTCCACATTCTGCATCTCCCAGTCCCAGGCTTCACTTTGTGTGGTGTCTGCTTAGCACAAAGCAGCTGCCCCTGCCATCACTTTGATGCATTTTGACCTGTATAAAAATGCATGTGTAGTGAAAAAGGTGCACAGCAATTCAAAAATTACTTTGGTGCAGGAAATTTACTTTGCGGCTGTGTGGCCTAAAAATTCATGTTGTACAAGAACCATGTTCTGACTGCCTTAAAGTTCTGGAATATTTGGCACATGAGTCATCCTAAAGAGTCATCTGGGCCCATTGCTTTAAGGGCAGGAATCCTCTTAGGATCTTATCTGGCAGGTAAACTAGTGGGAGAAGAGCATTCAGATTGGCCTATGGAAGGATTAACTGCCCCCACTAGAATAATTCCATTCAGGGAAAGCTCATTCGATTGTCAGACAGCTATTCGGATTAGAAAGTTCTTTCCTGGGGCATCCTGATGTCCGTCTTTCCCTCATACCCCTGATCTTATCCATTTGCAAGTCTTGTTGGCTCTAATTTCAAAATACATTCAGAATCAACCTTTTTTCCCCAACTCCACCACTATCAGCCCCATTCAAGCCAGCATCATCATTCTTTTAGAAAACATCCTAACTGCTCCTGTGTCTACCCTTGTCTCTCTACAGTCTATTCTTCCCACAGCAACTGGAGCAATACATTTAAAACAAGTTGGATTGTGTCATTTTTCTGTTCAAAACCTTGTCTACCATGGCTTCTTAGCTCACTCAAAGTAAAATGCTGTAAAATCCATGACCCATAAGGGCCAGCATCATTTAGTCCCTAGCTCTGTCTTTGATCTCATCTCCTACAATCTTTCTTAGCTCCATACATACTGGTTTCCTTGTTGGTCTTTGATTGTGCCCAAAAAATCCTGCCTAGGACTCTTTGCATTTATTTTTCCCAGTCTGCAGCGCCCTTTCCCCTCTTCTTTTACCTCCTATTTAAGTGCTACCTTTGCAGGGATGCACTCGACTGAGATTCCTATCCTCTAATGGCATTGTGCCTCTTTCATCCCAATTTATCACTATTTCTTTATTCTGCTTTACTATTTGTTTGGGGTGTTGTAAACTTTATTGGTGGTTTGAGAGCAATCATATTGGAGGGGGCAACGGGACCAGAGAGGTTGGAGCAAATGGCAGCACAGAAAACACTTAAAAGTGAATATTAAATACTCTGTAATTTAAAAACAGCTAGAGAATCCAGCTATCATTAATTTCTTATTGGCTGCCTTTCCTCCTGGGTTGCCTGTCTCCTGCCATATTCTTGTAGGGTTTTCTTACACTCGCCCATGTCCCCTTTTACCCTACCCACTTTCAGGATGCTCCAAGAAATTCAAATGGAGCCCATCTTTTTGTTTTAATTAACACATTTATTGAAGTATAACTTATTTTTAGAAATATGGATAATTTGACCAGCATTCATACTTTTCCATTCTGTAAAATCCCCAGAGAATAATCACTATCCCAGCTTATAACAGCAATTTTTTAATATTTATATTAATGTAATCATTCAGTAATTCTCTTTCATGTGTAGCTTCTTCCATTCACAGTTTATGGGCTCCAACCATATTGTGTAGTAGCTTGTTCCTTTTCATTGCCATATAATATTCTATCATGACCGTATCACAGTTTATTGATCCATTTTACTATTGGCTGTCATTTGAGTTGCTTCCAGTTTTGAGGTATTATGAATAACTGCCATCAACATTCTTGTGCATATTTCTGGGTATACATGTCCTTGCATTTCTGTTGGGCAATATATTGGAGTAGGATTACTGGATTAATAAGATAAATAAGAACTCTCATTTACTGCTGGTGGAAATATAAATTGGTAGGATCACTTTGGAAAGTTGGCAGTATCTTCTAGTGCTAACCATATGAATACCTTTTAAGTTCTGGATTCTTTGTCAATTATTGATATTAAAAATATCTTCCAATGCTGTGGTTTGCCTTTTCTTTCTCTTAGTAGTGCCTTTCCATAAACAAAAGTTCTTATTTTTAATGTAGTACAGTTTATCTGTCTTTGCTTTATGGATAATATGTCTTGGTCCTGCTTAAAAAGTCTTTGTCTATACGAGATCATGAATATATTCCTTAATGTTATCTTCTAGAAGACCTACTGTTTTGCCTTTTACACTAAAATCTACAATACTCCTGGAATTGATTTTTGGCTGGTTAACTTTCATTTTTTTCCAATGATTATTCATTTGAATAAGTCAGTTGAATAGTCCAATGAATCCAATTGATACATTGAAAAGATCGACCTTTCCCTCCTGTTCTGTGTGTCACCTTTGTCATAACGTACCCATATATGGCTCTGTTTCTGGACTCTCTACTGTGTCTCATTGGCCGATTTGTCTGTTCTTCTGCCAAAATACCACAATGTCTTATTTACTGTGGCTTTATAGTAAGTTTTGAAATCTGCTGCAGCAAATTCTCTAACTTTATTCTCCTCTAAGATCATCTTGGTTCCTGTTGGCCTTTTGCATTCTATATACATTTTTAGAATCTGGTCAGTTCACACACACACACACACACACACAC